TGATGAAGTGAAGAAATTGCTGAGTTTTCATTTTTTTGCCCTTTTTTTTTTCCTGTGTAACAGCTGTCATCTTTGACAGAGTGCAAACTCTAGACTAGTTTTTCTTTTTACCATAACTATATATTATTTACTATAAACACAAATTTTTCTTGTTGTTAATTTTAGAATATGTAGTAAAATTTATAAATGGCCCACTCTGGATAATGGTTATTTTGGTGTAATTTTTAACTTGATGTAGAAAGTATCAGTAAAAGATTATTTTACCATTAGATCAACATTGCAATAACTGTGATGTTGATTATTTTCAAGTTAAGAACAGAATGGTATATTCAGGACCATTTAGCAAATACAGTAATAATTAGACAAGAAGTCTGATAATTGGAGAAGTAATAAGTTGACATATGAATGTTTTTTTTTAAACAGAGAAGGTAGAGTTTAACTTTTTCCTATAAAAGAAACCCCTTGAGAAGTTGAAATCTCTATAATAAGGATGACAAAAGTGTCATTAAAAGTCATTTTGTCTTCTGTTTTTTGTCTCTTGTCTCTTGTTTTACCATGTATTATTTTTATTTAATTATCTTGTCAAATAATGTTTTATTTCATCTCTAATTTGTGACCTCTAGAGAGCAGAGTCGCTGTCTCCTTCCTATGTAGTTTCTAGTGCACAATAGGCCTTTGATTCCTACTGAGCTGAGGTAGTTTGGATTAAGATACTGTTTTCTAATTCTTGATTGAGGAAGTAGGCTGTGCCTGAGGTTCTCCTTTAACATAAGTTGAGACAAAAACCTTAAAAATCAGGAAATTAAAATTGTTTCTGTTTCAGGGTTGGGAAAAGCAGCTATGAGCTGCTTAAATGGTCTCTTTAAGCTTGAATTTCAGCCCAACTCTGGAATGCATTGCTTAGTTTGCATATTTTTCTTCTTGTTATTAGCTAAATGAAAGTTAAGGCCCAAGAACATCTGTAAAATGTGTTTAAGTAGTGACTTCATCCCATAGTGTATGCCATATTTCAGAGTAGGCATTCTTAACCTGTCCCATAGCGATCAAGAATCATTTTTTAAGCTGTTGAGAAAGCATTTTTGGATCTCTTGAGTTGGTTAAATTCAACTAAGTACTTTGGATTCTTATAAATAAGTTTTAAATTGTTCAGAATGTTTTTATAGTCCCAAAAGATAGACTTCTTGAAACAGAGCATAAAAAATTATATAAACATACAATGCTAAGATGCCTTGTCATATGTAAAATATTTTTGAAATAATAAAATATTTTTAAACTCATTGCCAACCTCATGTTCAGATATTTTATATTAAAAACGACCAAAACAAGGGACTTTGAGTTCCAAACTAGAATGCAATACAGAAAAAAATACTGAAAAACTATTATTATTATTATTATTATTGTTTTTACTTTTTGCAATGTCTGTTTTGGTAGTAACTTCTAGAATCCAATGTTTTCTTTGAATACAACCAATATTAAATGGTCTCTTATTCTCAGTTCTTAAAATAGTAAAAGGAGGTAGGAACTGAGAGTACATTGACTGCAGAATGATCTGTACACTCGGGAGATGAGATGAAATTAATCTCAGCAAGAGTCTCACATGGCAGGACATATCAAGGAAGGAAGCACACCATGGTGGCTACGTTTCTTTCCTGACCAGCAACTGGATTATTCAGGACATGGACAGCTAGAGGTGAGGTTAGCTCTTTTGTTCAGTGTTTTCTGTAATTCTTCTCTGTATAGTTGGACTCTGGCTGATCTCTACATTCATTTCATTCTTCAGAGAGGAAAATTCCATTTTAATATTGCTGGATATTATGGGAAAATAGCATTAGTAAACACAGTACCTTTAACACAGTAGGACTTACTGACTGAAAATAAGACTACTGTTACATTCTTACGTGGTGCATAGAACATTAATTTACTTCTCTTGATGAACTCACTCATACAGTTTTTAATATGATGCTTGAAATTCTGGCTGTTAGATTATTCCATGAGATTCTTATTAGATTTCTAATAAAGAGGAACTGATTTTTAATCATCCATTCCAGTGGTTCTTAACCTTCCTAATGCTGTGTGTGACCCTTTCCTTGTGTTGTGCTGACCCTCAACCATAACATTATTTCATTGCTGTTTCATAACTGTAATTTTGCTACTATTATGAATAGCAATGTAAATATCTGATATGAAGGTTATCTGATATGTGACTCACAGGTATAGAAACACTGATCTAGACCCAAGAAAACTTTACTGTAGGACAAATGCTTTGGATTGGGACTTAAACAGAATTCACTTTGGAACAATTTTCAAAGAGGAAACTCTCAGACAATTCATCTCTTGACCTCCAGGAAGGAAGATGTTCTTATACAAGTAAGTGAGGGAGCTCACTCCTGAGGGACAGGACCCAGAGGCAGGATTACCCAGACAGAAACACACTGACTGAAAAAAAGGTCAATGAAGTGATTACTAATGATATTCTGCTATGCTCATAGATTGGTGCCTAGCCCAACTGTTGTCAGAGAGGCTTCACCCAGCAACTGATGGAAACAGATGTAGAGGTTCACAGTCAAACATTAGGCAGAATTTGGGAAATCCTGTGGAAGAGGAAGGATTGTAGGAGCAAGTGGGGGTCAAAGAAACCACAAGAAAACCCACAGAACCAACTCACCTGGGCTCATAGGGGCTCATAGAGATTGGGACAATTGGGGAATATGTATGGGACTGACCAAGGCCCTCTGCATTTATGTCACATTAGTGTAACTTGGTCTTGTTTTGGGACTCCTACCAGTAGGAGCAAGGACTGTCTCTGACTCTGGTGCCTGCTTTTGTAACTCTTTCCTCCTACTTGATTGCCTTGTCCAGCCTTATTAGGAGAGGAGGGGCCTACTCTCATTGCATCCACAGGAGGCCTCCCTTTTTTGAAGAAAAACAGGAGGAGGAGCAGATGAGGTGGGAATAAGAATGGGAGAAGAGACTGGGAGGAAAGGGGAGAGGAAAATGTGGTAGGAATGTAAAAGGAAACATATAAAAGATGTACTCATGCATTTCAGATTTATTTATACAATTTAGAGTTTCTCTTTACCACCAGAGTTTGGAAACCAATGCCACTGAGCTAGAAAAATTATTTTGTTTTCTTATTAAAAATTCCATTATCTAGTGATGAATACCTGGCTGTTATCAATTTTATACTTATCTCTTTCACTAGGAGTTGGTTGGGGTGTTGATTGCTACATCATCTCAGGTGTTGGCTATTATCCTTAAGATAATTTATAAAGTAGAGGTAGTAGATTAAGTGAGGGTAATATTCTTTTTATTCTTTTATTTTTGCCAGATAAGTATTTGATGTTTTTCATCAGAGATGTATAGAAAGATGGTATTTCTTTTTATTATTATTTTATATTTTGTGTGTATTTGTGGAGCATAGGCTATTAGGCTTGGTGGCAAGTGCCTTTTTCTGCTGAGCTGTCTTATTGAGCTTGAGACTTAGTAGTAGATCTGATGAGTCCTATCATATTGGTACTTTTAGTAGAGTAAGCACCCAAGCAATGGTTGGTTCAGGCAAACATGTCCATAGGTTATTAATACATATTATAGAAAAATGCTAATAGGAATTTAAATAAAATTTTTTTATTTTCACACTTGGAATTTATATTTAAGTTAACTTAGAAAAATATATAAATTGGGTGACTTAGGAATAGTAACTTGAATAGAAATAAATGTTTAAATTTTAATGTTTATTTTATTCAAATAAATTACTTCTGATTGCTGGCTATGGCTATTTGTGTGGGTAGGGATATTTACCCATCAATTTGTTGTAGGAAATCAAGTTGAGCCCACTTCAGTGAATTCTTAGTCAAATAACTTGTGATTTTATTTTATTTTATAATCTAATTGTCCTATGAACAAAGCAGTTACTCATATCATTACAGTTAAAACTAGTATTTTCCTATAAAGCAGTAAACACTTGTAAGGATTGTATTGAAGATGAAAACAGTAAAATTGATATATGACTTCATCTGCAATGAGTAGTATATAAACTTTAATGCATTCCTAATATTATTTTATATAAATCCTGCGCCAATTAAAACTTATAAAATCAGGTGACTTTTAACGTTTACAGTAAACCATAGTCATAATTTTCAGTAATCCTCTTTAACTCCATAAAGATCTTTATTTTTATTTATTTTTAACTTTTATATCCTTAGACTAAGGTCCAGTGATCTGTGGATTCCATTACTTAAACTAGATAGAACCAAGAACAGTGCCAGTTCACATCTATGATCCTAGTACTTGGGAGGCAGAGGCAAGAAGATAACTAGTTCAAGACTAACCTTTTCTATTTACTGAGACTGTCTCAAAAACCTAAGAGATGGGGACTTAGCACACTGGTCGAGCATTTGCTTATCACATCCAAAGCTCAGGCTTTGACTCCATATTCAGAAAATAGATCCCATGACTAATTTCAGGGAGTATGTATGAAGCTATTCAATGACCATCACCAACTCCTTCCCTCTAATGATGTTCCATGATGCCATTTCTTCTATGAATTACTTAGCTAGTTAAATCAAAGGAATACATGCTTGGGCTGCTAATCAGATTTTCTATCTTTTCATTGTGCTTTAATATCAAAATATTTTCAGTTCCTTTCTTTATTGAGAAACAAATTTTAGAAAAATTTACCTTATTCTTAATAGTGTATAGTTTACCAAAGTGTCTCATAATTGAAACACTGGAATTTTTGTCTTACTAATTTAACAATAACTTCAACTTTTAAATTAGTAATAGTTCAAGCTCACTGACATTATGAGGTCATATTACATCCAGTATCACATTAAATGATAAAGGTAAGAGAACTCCTATTGCGTTGACATCATCATGTTTGAACTATTATTTCCTATGGGATTCTGGAATGCAGTGAGTGCCTCATGGTGTCAAAATCAGAAGCCAGCATGAACTCATTTGTGTAAGAAGTTTGTATCTCGGGTAAAATTCTTAATGCCCTTTGCACTTGCAGCGTTGCCGGCTGTACTTAGTATGTGTATCCAGGTGTGGGCAGTGATTCAGGGCTTTGGTGATCTCTCTTACCGGCCCAAGGATCCAAGGCAGTCCGTGCAAAACCTGGCCAGCAGCCCGAGTGAGTAGGAGCCATGTGACTCTGGTGAGTTGGAGTGTGCAGTTGCCTCCTGCTTCAGAGCTACCTGATCCGAATACTAAGCAGAGCGAGTGCCGGACTGAGTGGAAGACACCGAAGACACTGCAGTGCAAGGTGCTTTTTCCAGAGGTGTCACAGAACATGGATATTAAAGACCAAGGAGCCCAAATGGAGCCTCTGCTGCCTACGGTAAGAGACAACCTGCTGTCAGATAGCTTACCGCTTTGCTGCAGAACCTGTCAGGCAAGTGGCGCGCTGCTAGGTGCTGGGAGAATGTACTTTTGGGGTGGTGGATAGCTCCCACAACATAAGGACAGGGTCTCCTCCCATCTCCGGAGAATGAAATGCTTAAAGCACAGAGCACATGCTCCCCCCACCCCTTCTCAATATGGATGCAGCATGGTGATGAAATGTCTCATGTTTGTTGCTGTTTGAAGAAATGGCTAGGTTTTAGTAGCAGGGACAGTTGTGTGTCTTTCTCCCTGCCTGTTAGTGCTTATCTTTCTGTTTCTGTGGCTTTGCAGTACTGGCTCAAGCCCCTGTAAAAAAAAAAGCCCCCCTTTATCTTATTTAGCCCTGATGCATTTCTTGCCGGTGCTTCATCCTCAGACAGTGAGGTGAGGGAATCTGCTATTACAGCTCTAGAGACTTAGTCTCCATAGAAAACAGGGGAAAAGGGTCCCCCCCCCCCTCTCTCTCTCTCTGTGTGTGTGTGTGTGTGTGTGTGTGTGTGTGTGTGTGTGTGTGTATGAGAGACAGAGAGAGGAGAGAGCGAGAGCGAGAGAGCTGTCAGTGTCTTTCTCAAGGAGAAGTGTATCACTGTTCATGTACGTGGAAGGGATGCGTTTTGGGAGACAGGCGTACTATTCACATTTGAATGTCTGAAAGGTTGCTGGACTGTCGTTTGGAATTAGCCCATCTGTTTATCGCTGGCTCCTTTAGCCGCCTGCTTAGATTTAATTTTGGGAGTGATTGATTTGCCTGTCTTCTACACAATCCCTCTGCCTGGTACACAGACTTTGGATTTCAGGCAACGTCCTTTTTAGTCTGGGGCAGCTCATGCTGCTATGTTTAAGGGCAGCGCCGAGGAGGGGGCGGGTCAGCATTTACTTGATAAATCAGAGATGCCAAAGGTTAGTCTCTAGCCTTCTATCAGCGTCATCACGGTTCAGAACAGCAGAAATCTCCGCAGTACCAAAAACACATAAATAGCTGTTTTTTTTTTAGCTGTTGGGTTGTGACCAACCTTGCAGACTAGGACCGCTACAAACTGTCTATTTCTAAATCCATACCCATCCTTTGAACACAATGACATCGTAGGAGGATAGAGTAATTTCTGTGCTACTGATTTAGGGCCTTTGGCTCCAGCTGGGCTCTAATGCTGCAAAAAAGATCCGGGTTTGCTTCCTGCATCAGCTGTGGCTACTGAGCATGCCCAGTGCTTCCCGGACGCCAGGTTTGGATAGGGAGCAGAGAGGTGGGAAGAACAGAACCTAAATTAAGAGCAAGGGCAGTGTCAGAGAAGGGGAAAAGAAGTATGTCAGTTAACCTGCCTACTTAAAGCTAGAGCCGTGTATGTGTGTGTGTGTGGGGGGGGATTTGGAAATTTGTGTACACCCTTAGATGCATAAATTATGGTTCAGTGGTTACTCAGAATAAATAGTGTTAATGATACCAGGAGCCTTTGGTCTATAAAGAACAGGGAGGAACTATACACAGGAATTACAGGATGGAGATTTAGGAAAGATTAAATATAGAGGGAAAAATCCCTTTTGTGTCAGGGGGATTGGTGGGGGTTGGGACTTGTCCTAGAAAAGCAGGTTGAGGCCAGTTTGATGTGGCTTATGGATTGTCACTTGGTGGGAGCAGTTAAAGGATTTAAAACCAAATGAGGATTATCTGGAGGAATTTAGAAATGGATGACATTGCTAGGCTAGATGGGCAACTGGTCTGTGGCTTAAAAGAGCAAGGGACATAAAGTTTGGCTAGGAGAGAGGATCTACAATGTTTGGCAGAGAAATTTAATGGCCACATTTGAAAGTTTGAATTTCATGGGCACTGACGGCGTATAGAATAGCTTTATGTTAACAGTAATGCAGAATCATGTAGGCAATATGTTATAAATATATAAATCTAAGAAATTAGGAAGAATAGTGAATTTTTGACCCAATTTTACATTTGTATAGTGTTTTTAACCTCTCCAATTTAAAGGTCATATGTGCTATGTGAAGCAGCTTTTGTTACCTTTATTTTAAAGATAATAAAAAGTTGAGGCACACGGAGTCTAAATAAAATGTTGAAGGTTATACATATTAAGGAAGCCCACACTAGAATAAGTTTAGGTCTTCTAAACTTATTAAGAATATTTTTAATCACGGTTACTACAGTCAGTCTCTGGGCTCTATATGTATAGATATATAAAGAAAAAGCAATAGTTGGGAGTTTATATTAGCAAATTTATCAGATGACTTTGCAAACAATTATATGAGTGGCAATGTGACAAAATTAATTAGGAACATTCTGTGCCAGGTCCTGACAGTGCTATTTACTTATTGTTTTCTGTAACCTTGGAACACTTAGGTCTTAGATTCCATAACTGAAAAATGGGAAGGCTGTGGAATATGCCTTTTGCTTAATTCATTTATAGTCTTTCATTTGTTTCTCTGTGTATAGGGTATCACTTTGCACGCTATGGCACATGTGTGGAAGTTAGAGAACAACTTGCAAGAGTCAGTTCTCTCTTCTTATCATGGGTCCTTAAGTGTGAATGAACTCAGGTCCTTCTGGTGGGTAGCAAGCTGCTTTATCAACTTATTTGTCTCAGTGGTCAAAGGCCACATTTTAAATGTGGTTGGATAATATAGGAATGGATGATGGAATTTAGCATCTTTTTGTGTTCATTTACATTTTACAAATGTTCAAATTTATTATTTTATGTTTGGAAAGGAAGTTATGAAAATATTCTATTAAGTTATATTAGGGAATGGAAAAAGTTAGAAAAAGAGAACATGGATTGGCTAGGTAATATTTTTATTTAATTCAAATTATAATTTATATTATAATTTTAATTTAAAACAAAATTGTTACACATTACTACATAACTATATAGGGAGATATAGTATAAGAAATCAATCCTTATGTTTATTTGAAAACCTACTCTAGAAAGGTGAACTATAGAGATACATTTATGCATTGGGTGCTAAGGTTATGAGGATGGGTGGGAAAATCTGAAATATACATGTATTAAGTTTATGGTAAAGTTTTTGAGATCAGATTAAGGAAATGGAGTAGTTTAAAATGTAAAGGAAAAATCTGGGCCAAGGTGGCCCTCTAAATATAATCAGAAGACATGCTCATATATTAATGATATCATTTTAGTATAGCCTTTGATGATGGTTACTTCAGAAATTGAAACTGTACCTACACAGATAAAAGTGTATTACAATGTTCTGAGTGTGAATGAAGAAATGTGAGTACCACTTCCAACCTTTGAAACTTTAACAACCAAAGTAACTTCATTCTCACAAGGTTTAAGACCATTTGGCTTTAAGTCCTGCCTTTGTCAGTATGTGCGGTGAATGTTAGCTAAGATTTCCTATGTATTTATGTGCAGGGACTTAAACCTAGGAAACCACACATTGAGGTAAGCATTTTTACTGAACCACATCCCAGTCCTTTATTATATTTTTAGATAAAAGAAATGTATGTTGAAGATTTAATACTTTTTAAAAGTTATCAAACAGAGTCTTTCTCTGCAATTCAGACTGGCTCAAACTCAAGAAAATTCTTTGTCTCAGCACTGGAAGAACTAGGGTTAGAAATGTATACCACCACACCAGGCTTTAATACTTTGGTCATAAAAATTACCTGGCATATTCTCTGGGTTATGTTATTTTTCTTTAGAAGCAAGAAACAATTCATTTATAATATGCCACTTATGAAATAGTATGTTTTTTATTTATTATTAATTACTATTATTTTTAATCATTTTTTATTTTAAAACAATCTTTTCTAATTTCACATACCAATCCCAGTGCTCACTCCCTCCCTTCCTCCTGCTGTCCCCACCCCACCCCCCATCCACTCCTCAGAGGGAGTAAGCTTCCCATGGAGAATCAATAAAGTCTGGCAGTTCTCTTTGAGGCAGGACCAAGGCCCTTCCCCCTATATCTAGGCTGACCAAGGTATCCCTCTAAAGAGAATGGTTTCAAAAAGCTAGTTCAAGCACTAGAGATAAATCCTGGTCCCACTGCTAAGTGGTCCCATAAACTTCCCAAGCTGTAAGCCACACAACTGTCACCCACATTCAGAGGGCCTAGTTTGGTCCTATTCAGGTTAACACCCCCACCCCCACCCCGTGCTATGTAAGTCCAGATTTGGTAAGCTCCATTTGCTCAGGTCAGCTCTTTCTGTGGGTATCCCCAATCTACTTACATGTCTCTCTCCCTCTCTCTGTCTCTCTCTCACATTTTATCTTTCATCTTTCTTTCTTTTTTTCTTTCTTTCTTTCTTTTTTTTTTGCAAATAACGCAATTTCATTCTTACAATTAGCTAAAAATTCCACTTTTAGGTCATATCACATATTTTATCTATTTGCCTGTTGATAGACAAGTAGATTGCTCTGTATCATGCTATTATCAGTGACGTTAGAGTAAACATGGATCTGTAGTATCTTCGTGGTATGCTGACTCAGATGAGTGGTATAGTCAGATAATATGGTGACTATATTTTTAAGTTTTTTTGAATCTCCATATTCATTCCCATGTGCTTGTACAAATCTGTCTTCCCAATAGCAGTACACAATGGTCTCTTTCTCCCTACATCCTCACCAGCATATGTTGTTTATTTTCTTTGTGATAGCTATTCTGACTGGACTAAGATAGAATCTCAGTATAGCTTTGATTTGATTTTCCTCATGACTAGGGATGTTGACCATGTTGTATATCTCTATTAAGAACTGTCTGTTGTGTTCATTTGCTGATTTATTTATTGACTGGGTGATTGGGGTTTGGCATACTTGATTTTTTTGGTTCTATGTATATCCTACCTTTATATTTGTCTGTTATCAGATATATAACTAGCAGTGATTTTCTTGATTCTCTGTAGGCTGTCTATTCACTCTTGTTTCTGTTTCTGTGAAGGAGCATGTCAGTTTCATGCAGTCCTGATTGTCAGTTCTTTAATTATGT